CTGCTCTGATTTTTCAGCTCACTTCCTGGTTCTAATGTCTAAGTCAGACCCTTTTAATATTGATTAAATATTATTTTAATATTTATTAAATATGCTTCACTGTAACAGCAGCATGAGAGAATTCAGAAGGTCTGAGCATCTATCCAGCACGTGGGACATGAAGATGAGAGATTGCTACAGTAGTTTAATTTTACTTAAAGCTGGGTGCAGATGACTCTTGCTTGGAATCCTAGCTACAGAAGAGGCTGAGATCTGAGGATCGCAGTTTGAAATCAGAGCAGGCAGAAAAGTGAAACTGTGGCTCAAGTGACAGAGCACTGGCCTTGAGCCAAAGAAGCTCAGTCAGGGACAGTGTCCAAGCCCCAAGTTCAAGTCCCAGGACAGGCACAAACACACACACACAAAGATTGAGCTTAAGGAAGATGTAGCACATTGCCTGACAGGCAGGATCCTTGGGTTTCATCTCCACTCCTTAGGAGACAAAATGAACACCAAATTTGGCAGAACAAAAATTCAATTTGGAGCCATTTTTATTATGTTGAAAAATATGGAGCCTCTTCTGTCTTTGGTTGATACTGTTTTTGTTCGATCTTTCCCACGATTAGTGTATTTATTATATATTAGAATGATGGAAAGTCAGGCTAGTCATTTGTTGTTGCTAAGTTGGATGGATAAAGGCAAACAACAAACTGTGCAAGATTCTAATATGTTGATGATTAAATATCACAAAGGGATTTCAATTATATAAAATTGTGAAGTAACAGTTGAATTGTAAAACTGTTAAAATAAAAATATAATAGTTTAAGGTTTACAGACTTCTTTATTTGTGTCAATACTGGGGCTTGAACAACTCAAGGCCTCAGGCTGCCTCTTGGATTTCTTGTTCACAACTAGTGCTCTACCACTTGAGTCATGCCTCTAGCCTAGCTTTTTTGCTGGTTCATTGGAGAAAGAGGCTCACAGATTTTTCTGCCCTTGATGACTCTGAACCAAGATCCTCTAGGTCTCAGCCTTCTAAGGAGCTAGGATTACAGGTGTGAGCCACAGACACCCAAATAATTTTACTGACTTTTTTCTTCCCTCCTTTCCTCCCTCCCTTTTTTATTTTTCCTCCTAATGCATTTCATTTGTGCCAGGCTCCATAGATATGTGCATAACTATGTTAATTAGTATAACTGAAGCAGAAGTTTCATGAATAATACAATGCACTCCAATATTTCTTATTTTCCTTCTTTCTCGACACTGGTAACCTACTAAATTGATTTTATAAGCTTCCCTTGGGGAAGCGCTACTGTTTGAAGAATACTTGCTGAGTAAAATCCTAATCAGAATTCCCCAGAGAATGGGGATGAGGTAGTATTCAAAAAACCACGCGCCAGCCCCCAGCTCATCATGCTAAGTGAGATGGCAGATCACAAAAGATAAATGTGGTAGGATTCCATTTATATGAGGTCTCTAGCGTGGTCAGAGCCATACAGAGAGTAGCATGGTTGTTGCCAGAGTGGGGCCAAGGCCAGGTGGGGGGTTACTAAGAGGTACAGAATTTCAATTTCAGAAGATGAGAGAAGTTTTGGAGATGAGGTATGATGGTTGCATAGCAACATGGGCACAGTTGTAGCCCTGGTGTGGGGTTGGAGGGGAGGGGCAGAGGAATAAAGAGAGGAAGGGTGGGCAGGTACCCTTGCACTATTTCGTGTACTTTTGTGAAAATGGAACCAGGTAGCTTGAGGGCAGGGGTGGGGTTGGGATGGAAGCCTGGGAGCCTGATGGGAGGGGTGGCCAGACCCAGATGCATCGTGCTCATCACGTGTTGCCCTGAAACCCCTTTGTATCACTATTTAAAGATAACAAAACATAAAGAATTAAATTTTAGCTGGTGGTGGCTCACACCTGTCACCCTAGCTACTCAGGAGGCTGAGATCTGAGGATCACTGCACAAAGCCAGCCGGGGCAGGAACGTCCACAACACTCTTATTGCCAATGAACCCCAGAGAAACCGGAAGTGCACTGTGCTTCAAAGTGGTAGAGGGCTAGCCTAAAGCAAAAAGAGCTCAGGGACAGAGCCCAGACCGCGAATGCAAGGTCCATGACCAACTCAATGAATAAATATTAAAGCAACAACAAAACAAAGTTAATAGGCAGTCTAGTATGATCACTCATGCCTGTAATTACAGTTGCTCAGGAGGAGAGATTAGGAAGATTGTGATTTGAGGCTAACCTAGACAAAAAGTTAGTGAAACACCATTTTAACCAGTAAGTTGAGCATCCTGGGTGTTCTGTAATTCCAGCTGTGTAGGAGGTGTAGGTAGGAGTATTGTAGTCAAAGAAGAGAATTTATCATCCTCCTGGAAAAGTGGCTAAAAAGTAAAAGGGTTGGGGTTTATTCCAAGTAGTAGAGTACCTACCTACCAAGCATGAGTCCCTGAGTTCAAACCCACCAAAAATTAAATTTAATAAAAAGTAAAATTAATAAGTGGTAGATGGAAAATTCAGTGTGAGGCGTATTTAGCATAGAAAAAGGTAAAAATAAAGATACTGTCTGGAGAATGAGCACAAACACTAATCAAGTTCAAAAGGCCCAGTGGGTTCAGGGCAGGGTAATGATAGAGTGTGGGGAAATGCATCGCACAACGCAGGAACGTGGGGGTTTCTACGAAGTGCTGATGCCTGAGCTCTGGGGAAGAACAGTGGGAGCAGCATGGGAGGGGGGCGCAGGTGCTCACGGGGCCCACAGCCAGCGAAGGAGCCACAGATCTGGCAAGGGCAACAGTGGCTCACACCTATCATCTAGAGTTGTCAGCTTGAGGCCAGTCTGGGCAAAAAATGTAGGGAGACTCCATCTCAACAAACACACTGGAAATGGTTGTGGTGCATGTCTACCATCTCAGCACCTGGGAGTTAGCACTACAGTGACTAAGTAGGAAAAGCACCGTCCAAGCCAGCCCAGACAAAAGCATGAGAACCTAAGCAAAAAATTAAGAAAAAAAAGGGGGGGGGGCTAGGGTGTGGAGCACCACCTAGCAAGTGTGTGAGTTCAGACCCCAATACAGGAAGAAAATGTAAAAAAAAAAAAAAAAAACTTCTGCAGACAAACAAAAGCTCAGAGGGTTTGCACCAACAAACCCCAAACAACACTTGAACACATACGTGGGGTGAATCATTAGGAGAGCATCCCAGCGGTGCAGGTTGAGATGCAAAGAGAAAAGATGAGTGAAGAAATGGGAACTGTGCATAGAACTGACTGGAGAAGATAAGTAAGCAGTATCTTGTGAGGTTGATGGACAAGATGAAGAGTGTACCACATGACCGCATGGAGGCAGATATCTGAGGGGTCCACAGTTATAAATCACTCTATCCTTACAGTTTTATGAATCAGGGCAAAGAGACCTTAAATAAAATTAAAGACTAAAAGAAGATCAAAATATACCTTGTCCATGTAATTGTAACTCCTCTGTATAGTATTTTCACAATAATAAAAAAAGATCAAAACACTGAAAGAAGAAAGAAGATTAAAAAGAAATAAGCACACAGTTCAAAAATTTAAGATAGCCATTAAAACAACTGAAATGAAATAAAGGAAGAAGAAAACAGTAGGAGAAAAATCCTACAGAAACATTAGAAAAAGGAAAGGGAGGAGAAGGAGAAAGAAGGAGGAAGAGGAGGAGAAGAAGAAAGGAGGAGGAAGAGAAGGAGCAAGAGGAGGAGGAGGAGGAGGAGGAAGAACCACCCAAGTGGTAAACATAGAAATAATGCAATTTGGGAGAAAAATGGGGGAGAGGGGAACAAGTTTGACAAGAAATGTACACACTACCTTATCTATGTAACTGTAACCCCTCTGTTTATCACCTTGACAATAAAATTAAATTTAAAAAAAGAAAAAATAATGCAATTTAATAATAGATACAAATATAGCAGTACATATAATAAGTATAAGTGGACTAAATGTTCCAGCTAAAAGACAAAGATTATCCTTTAAACAACTTTTATTATTTTTAAAATCCCAAGTATACAGAAAATTGAGAATTGAAAGATACAGTGCTAACGTGCGGGGTCAACTGTTATTAATGATTTTTCTCTGTCACATCTATCTCTGTTTGATCAGGCGTGTGTTTAGAACACCTATTTCAGGTACTATGTATTATACAATAATATACTATTTACTGATAACAATGTAGTTTTTGAAGTCAAATAGTAATCTAGGACCCCAGCACTTCCAAATCGAGTAACCCGTTTGCGTGTTATTTATTCAAAGATGTGCGCGGGGTCATCCTTCCTGGCCCCCCAACTAATACGTATTTGTTGCTTAAACAAATGGTATCCAGGAAAGGATGCATCACAGAGCTTTTTGATTGGCAAGCCCTTATTGCAGGGTAGCTTTGTTTCTGGAAGCTGCTTGTTACTGCAAGTATTCAGCAGAGTGGCACAAAATCAGCCAACAATAATTGGCAGTGTATTATATTTGTAATGATTATTTATGAACTGTCACAGTACCCAGACACATCACTCACCCATCAACCATGTATCTAATAAGTATTCTCATGACTATTCAAAGCCTCTAACAGAGCCTGGCATTCCAAGAGCAAGAGAAAAGTGGAAGTTCATTCTCGTTAATGATTATTGTTCGTAAGTAAAGCACCTCACCGGGCCCGCCCCGACGGGCCTTTCATAAACAAGGCTCGCACGGACCGCCCCTCCGTCCTGGGGGAACAAGGCCCCGCCCCCTGCTGTCGGAAGCCCCGCCCCGAGACTCGGCCTGCGCCTGCGCACTGCTCCGAGGGACTCCGGGTGCGCGCGCGCAGCCTCCCTCCCGCCCCTGCGGCCTGCGCCGGGCACCGCTTCCCGCTGCCGGAGCCAGCCAGCTGCTGCTTGCGTGCGTACGTCCTTGCGTGTGTGCGTGCGTGCGTGCGTGCGTGCCGTGAGCTCGCCGGCACCGCGGCCTCGGCCTCGCCCTCCGCCCCTGCGCCTGCACCGCGTAGGCCGCCCCCCCCCCCCGCGCGCCCCGCCGCCGCCCCCCGCCCGCGCCGCCGCCCCCTCCGGGTAAATTTAAAGGGGGCGCGGCGTCCCGCTCGGTTCAGGTGACCTCCCGGGGCCTCCCGCAGAGTGCCCCGCCGCCGAGGAACATGGCGAAGGTGGAGCAGGTCCTGAGCCTGGAGCCGCAGCACGAGCTCAAGTTCCGAGGTGAGTGTGCGCGAGGCCGCCCGCCCCGGCCCGCGCCCCGGGAGGGGAGCGGGAGCCCGGCGCGCGGGTGACGTCGCCACCCCGCCCCCTCCCGACGGCGCGGCCGGGCCCTGCGCGGCGGCCACGTGCGCTCCCGCCGCCCCCGCCGCCTCCGGCCGTCGACGCGCCCGGGGCCGGGACCCCGTCCGTGCGCGGGGAGGCCGCCCGGGCCCGGGCGCCCGCTGGTCGGCCCCGCACCTCGAACCCCCGCGGGTCCGCGCACACCTCCCACCCCCCACCCCCCCACCGGAACGGGACCTCGAGGAACCAGTGGGCACGCGGAGCCCTGCACGGCAGGACCGGACCCGGCCTTGAGCTCCGCCCTGAGCCCGGCCCCCAGCCCTCCAACCACAGCCCCACTTCCGGCGTTGGGGTGGTTAATCGGGCTGCGTCTCCGGGACGGCCTTGCCCCGGGTGTCTTCGAAGCCCCTCTCCCGGACCTCGGCCTCCTGCCTGACGAGGGCCGCGAGCTGAGCTTTCCTGCTTTCCTCTTGGTGAGGGAGACAAACGCACGCAGGCGGTGACGAGTGTGCGCGGGGAAGAAGGCGGACCCAAGTGATGGGGTGGCCGGCAGGCTCACACGGAGGCTCCCGCGTGTGGCCCAACGTGGCGGAGCCAGTGGAAGCCAGGGCACCCCGGTGGGGAAGTAGTGTGGAGTAACTTGGCCAAGTTACCCATTTGGCACCTGGCACACTTGAACTCCGCCTTCCAAGCTCGCGGTCCGAACCACTGCACTGCCGGTCAGGCTCCCGGGAAAGGCTCTGAGACCGTTGTTGCCAGTTTGTGAAATGACCTCCTATGAGGAACTAACAAATCCCTCCCCCCACAACAAAACAAAACACACCCAATAGTTCCACAACAGTGCTGGGGACTCTGACTTAGGATGGTCTGTCACTCTGTCTTAGGACTTGAGGATGGTGTGAGAGTGGTGTGCATTTGGTAGAAGCTGTTCTGAGTTGTGGGCTTTCCGGGTTAAGGACGCATGGGTTAGCCCTCTGCGATGATGGGAACAGCAGTGTGCTGCAGCTCCCTCCCAAGCTCAGCGGAAGGGAAGCCCTGAGATAGCTATGGACTGTCACTTTTCCATAGCAGGGCTCGGGATTCTGCATCTTGTTGTCTTCAAAGCCTTTATCTGTGTGTGGACCTGAGCTTTTCAACACATAGTTTAAGTAACAGATTATTTTAAAATAGGCTTTGTGTTAGATGATTTTGCACAACTGAAGGTTAACCAGAGTTCTAAGCAATAAGTGCTGGTTAACTAAGAAGGTTAAGTGTTAAATGAATCTTTGAGTTAGAATGTTTGCAACTTTCAGTTGGGGCACTGGTGACTCACACCTGTAATCCTAGATGCAGGAGGCTGAGATCTGAGAATGATGGTTTGAAGCTATCCTGGGTAGGAAAACCTGAGACTCTTCATGTCCACAAAGGAAAAAAAAAAACGAAAACAAAACAACCAAAAAAAAAAAACCCGAAACCTAAGCTGGACACAGCTGGCTCATGCCTGTCATCCCAGCTACTCAGGAGGCTGAGATCTGATGATCTCGGTTCAAGCCAGCCCAGGCAGGAAAGTCCGTGAGACTCCTATCTCCAGTAAACCACTAGAAAACCGGAAGTGGTCCTGTGGCTCAAGCGGTAGAGAGCTCGCCTTGAGCTGAAGAGCCCAAGGACAGCGCCCAAGCCCAGAGTTCAAGCCCCACGACGACAAAAAAAAAACAAAAACAAAAACAGAAAAAACAAAACAAAACCAAAAAACAAACTAGAAGTGGCAGGGCACCGGTGGATCAGGCCTGTAATCCTAGTTACTCAGGAGGCTGAGATCTGAGGATAGTGGTTCAAAAGTAGCCTGGGCAGGAAAGTCTGTGAGACTCTTATCTTCAAAAATCCACCAGAAAACCGGAAATGATGCTGTGACTCAAGTGGTAGAGGCTAGCCTTGAGCTGAAGAGCTGAGGGACAGTGCCCAGGCCCAGAGTTCAAGCCCCATGACTGACAAAACACACACAAAACAACCAGAAGTGGAGCTGTGGCTTAAGCGGTAAAGTGCCAGTCTTGAGTGAAAAAGCTTAAGTGATAGCTCCCAGGCCCTGAGTTCAAACCCCAGACCTGTCACAAATAAATACATCAATAATAAAAACTAAAAAAAAAAAAACCCCAAAACCATATTGACCTTTCAACCTGTTTGTGAGGATGTAACCCCAGTGTAAGTTGAAGGGTATCTGTACTCGAGTTCCTGTGGTAGGTATTCTTGAGTCTGTGGGAGAAAGGAATCCAGATGGCTGCCATGAATCTCATGAGCCCTGGGTTTAAGGAAGTTCTCACACAAGAAGATGGGCTTGGTCCTTGTGTGAATCGCACATTGATTTAGTTGTGCCTGCTTCTTGTGTCAGATACCAGAAACCAACTCAACCTAGGTTGCATTTCCCTAGGGCTTCATGTCTAGGGAAGAGGCTGACAGGAGAACTGTCCAGGCAATCCATAGGGCCCCAGGAACACTGTGGAGGTCAGCTCAAGGTTTCACTTAAATGTGTGAGACTTTGGGCCGCCACTTCACTCCCCAAAGCCGTGGGTCACCTTTGAGTTGACATGGTTGATGCCACATTTCCTTGCCTCTAGTGGAAGTATTGCTACTGTTTCGGAAGTCCATGTTGGGGTTGTCCCACTGCTTTGTGAATACACAACCCAAGTGGCTATTGGTTGTTTTCTTTAGACATCTCAATTTGTCATTGCAGCTTCTCAACCTGAGAGGTTGGCGGACTAATCTTCCTGGCCATGGTGGGCCAAAGGAGTGATGGCCAAAATATCACTGGCTATTTTTGTTAGGGAAGTGGTCCAGAAGAACTTTGGGCATCAAATCGTTGAAGGGTATTGCATCTCACTTTAGAAGAGCCATCTGTCTGTAGGCCTGTGCAAATCACTTTCTGAGGTTCTTACTTTGCTTTAAGCTTGAAGGCAAAGATGATAAAATTAGAGGCTTAATACTCAGGTTTACTGTACAGAGATCATTAATTTTGGTCTTTTTCTGGTTACCCAGGGTCTTAACGGATATGATTTTGCTTAAGAAAGTAATAATTGGGGCTGGGAAGGTGGCTCAGTGGTAGAGTGTTTGCCTTGCATGCATGAGGCCCAGGGTTTGATTCCTCAGTACCACATAAGCAGAAAAAGCCCGAAGTGGCGCTGTGGCTCAAGCAGTAGAGCACTAGCCTTGAGCTGAAGAGCTGAGGGACAGTGCCCAGGTCCAGAGTTCAGGTCTTACGACTGACAAAAAACAAAAAAAGTAATAATTAAAGTATCTATCATTCAGAAATTAAAAATGAACCTTCTGGGGCTGGGAATGCGACTTAGTGGTGGAGTGCTTGCCTAGCATGCATGAAGCCCTGAGTTCAATTCCTCAGTACCACATAAACAGAAAAAGCTGGAAGTGGTGCTGTAGCTCGCTCAAGTGGTAGAGTAGCTAGTCTCGAACAAAAGAAGTTCAGGGACAGTGCCCAGGCCCTGAGGTCAAGTCCCAGGACTGGCAAAACAAAAAACAAAACAAAAAGCACAAAAAAAACCCTCTGTTAGGTGCAACTTAACAGCACAGTAGGATTATGTACCATGATATTCTTTGTGATCTTTGGAATTGTATGTGGTATGTTAGGGTTTAAAAATTATGCAAAAGAAAATAATACAAGTGTGCACAACCTCATTAAGTGTTATGGGAAGTGTTGTGTTAAATATCCCAAAGAGAAAGACTGGTGGTTTTCTGACAGGTACGCGACACAGGTTGCCATGACACAGGCTTTATCTCGACTTAGTGCATCTTCACGGCATCTTCTTTAAACCTCAGTGTAAGCAGTTGCTACTTTGGACTGTTCTGAGAGTGAAGGGTTTGGAGACCCAAGAGACAAAGATAGATTCATTGTCACCTGTTCTGTTGGTGCCAGTTCTTCCCAGGTCTAACCCTTTCCTGCTGTCTCCTTCCTCGGAGGTCTACTTGGGTCCAGCTCTGAGAGAGCTTTGTGAACGAGTGCCTCTCAGAGAATCTTTTATGTCTTCTTCCATCAAATTCCAGCTGTGGTAAGTAGCATGTCATGTACGTTTTGCGCTGTTGTCCAACACTTCTTTGCAGCTAGGACACTCTTCTGGCAATGGTATGTGAGAGTGCTTGCTAACCATTCTTGCTAGGTTGAGGCTCAAACCTACCATGTCTTGTTCTGAGCCTAAGCCAGCAGCCTAAAGGATGTCTGGATCTTGAGTTGGTTGGTGGGAACAGCACCAGTGGACTGGCGTTCATTACCACTGTGGCAGGTAGGCACTTGGGCACTGTAAGTACTGGTTTAGGGACACTGTCTTTGTTTGAGGAAAACAGGCTTATTAGAATCATTAATTCAGCCCCCTGGAGTTGATGTATAATTTAGGATTGTTTAGGAGGTTATAAGGAAAAATCTAATACCCTGTGGATATAGTCCATTCAGTGCAGTAATTATCTTTCAGATGCTAAGTACAACATTAATTCTTTAGCTTTAATATAGCACTGATTTCCTTAACATTTCATGATTGCATAGAGCAGACTGTGTTTTACAGCACAACAAAATGTCAGAAGTGTGCTTAAGATTTTTTATGGTAGTGGTTTCAATCCATCCTGAATAGATTATCTTCATTTATTTAATTATTAACCAGCTTGCTTGTCAAAAGCAAGTGGTATTAAATTAAGCTGGAGTCAAACTTAAATTATCATAGACAGTACTCTATACTTCTGAAGTCTTTTTTTTTTTTCTTTTTCTACCATTTGAGCCCTTAGGAAACACTGAACTCTTGTCCCTGGAAGGAAAATGTGAACTGGAAGTTAACTTCCTTTTATCTCCATCTCCACTTCCTTTTCTTCACAGTTAATTCCCCAGGGGAACATGTAGCCCCCTGCCCCATGCTTGGGAGCACACTTGGGAAACAGGGCTGTTCCTTTGATGTAAGTGGTTGTAACCT